TGCAAGACTCCCGGCAACAGCAAATTATTTACACAATTTCTTGCTGTCTGCTGCCTCGAGATCACTGGAGCGAAGAAAGGTAACATAAAGCAAGAATCCCTATTCAGTGAAGGGTTTATCCCTTTTATTATTAAAGACTCCCGACAAAGGCTCTCCCCCTGCAAAATTGGAGTTTAATGTAGTTTAAGCTTTTAACAACCACGCCCGTGGATCTTTTATTATCAGGTAAAAGTGTATAGCAAGAATCAGTGGCGTAATAAGCAAAAACGTTTTTTTTTTTTGGGGGGGGGGGGGGGCTGACGAAAAAAAAATCCGCATCACCCCACTCTAACATGCAGGCCCCGCTGAACAGTTCTCAAAGTAGGGTCTAATGGGTATGGGCATCAGTGGCGGATCCAGAAATTTCTTACGTGGGAGGGGGGGGGGCACAAAATGGCATGGGGTGAAGTATACTTATGTGAAACGATGAAGCGACAGAACGAGGCTTTAGCGGCGAGGGAGCAGAGCAACCAAGCGGGATGGGTCTGGGAGGGGGTTCTGACCCCCTCCCAGAGTAAGAAGCATTTGCAATTTTAGAACCAAATTAGACGCATTTTCAGGCCATCAATTACCGACAAATATATTAATGCCCAATGTCCAAATGTCTACAAATTTAACCCTATAAAACCGGGGCCAGGAACTAAGTTATTATTTAGTTCCCCCACCCCCTCTCGCGTGAAGCGCGGTAGCTTTGACACTTCTTAAATTATTAGAGAAAGAAGACGATCCGTTGTACCGTTCTCGACTCTCAATCCTTGTCTGAATACAGTTCCCCCCCCCCCCTCACGCGCGAAGCGCGAAAGCTTTGCGTTTCATTCAATTATTACTCTTAATCCTTGTCTGAATTCTTTTTCGCCCATCCCGCGCAAAGAGCGAAAGCTTTGACGCTTCATTAAATTATTACTCTTAAATCTTGTCTGAATTCATTTTCGCCCATTCCGCGCGAAGCGCGGAAGCTTTCACATTTCATAAATGATTAGAGAAAGAAGACGATTCGTTGTATCGTGTTCTTGTCTGAATTCAGTTTTCCCCCTTACGCGCGAAGCGCTGAAGATTTGACACTTCATTAAATTTTTAGAAATAGTAGACGATTCGTTGTACCGTTCTCGACTCTTAATTCTTGTTTCGCCCCTTCCGCGCGAAGCGCGGAAGCTATGACGTTTCATTTAATTATTAGAGAAAGAAGACGATTCATTGTACCGGTCCCGACTCTTAATCCTTGTCTGAAATCAGTTTGCCCCCCCCCTCCCGCGCAAAGCGCGGAAACTTTGATGTTTCATTAAATTATTACTCTTAACCCTTGTTTGAATTCGTTTTCGCCCATTCCGCGCGAAAGCTTTAACGTTTCATTAAATTATTAGAGAAAGAAGATGATTCGTTGTATCGTGTCCTTGTCTGAATTCAGTTTTTCCTCTTCCGCGCTTCATTAAATTATTAGAGAAACAAGACGATCCGTTGTACCGTTCTCCACTCTTAATTCTTGTTTCGGCCCTCCCGCGCGAAGCGCGGAAGCTATGACGTTTCATTTAATTATTAGAGAGAGAAAACGATTCATTGAACCGTTCTGGACTCTTAATCCTTGTCTGAATTTCGTTTCACCTCCTTCTGAATTCAGTTTTTCCTCTTCCGCGGTTCATTAAATTATTAGAGAAACAAGACGATCCGTTGTACCGTTCTCCACTCTTAATTCTTGTTTCGGCCCTCCCGCGCGAAGCGCGGAAGCTATGACGTTTCATTTAATTATTAGAGAGAGAAAACGATTCATTGAACCGTTCTGGACTCTTAATCCTTGTCTGAATTTCGTTTCACCTCCTTCTGCGCAAAGCGCGGAAGCTTTGACGTTTCAATAAAGTATTACTATTAATCATTGTCTAAAATCATTTTCGCCCATCCCGCGTAAAACGCGGACGCTTTCAAGTTTAATTAAATTATTAGAGAAAGAAGACGATTCGATCGTGTCCTTGTCTGAATTCAGTTCCCCCCCCCCCCCACCCGAAATGCGGAAGCTTTGTCGTTTAATTTAATTATTACTTTTTATCCTTTTCTGAAATCATTTTCGCGTTTCATTAAATTATTAGAGAAAGAAGACGATTCGTTGTACCGTTTTCGACTCTTAATCCAAGTCTGAATTCAGTTGCCCCCTCCCCCGCGAAATTCGGAAGCTTTGCCGTTTCATTAAATTATTTGAGAAAGAAGACGATTAGTTGTACCGTTCTCTACTCTTAATCTTGTCTGAATTCAACTTCCCGACTGGGCCCCTTACCCGCCCCCCCCCCCCCCACTCAGAGGTCGGAATGACCGCATGCGTGTTGCCAAAATGTCCGGTAAAGGGGTACTTTTCGTGCGACAAAGTCCGGCCCGAGATTTGTAAAAAAAAAAGGGGTGTATTTGACTTTTCTCTCTCATCTCTTTGGACTCCTGGGAAATTATTCCGAATTTAGGAGGGTACATTGAGCATTTTTCCTGATTTAGGGGGGGGGGGGTCTCCAAGGCAGGAAAAGCCCGCGAAAAGCCCGCGAAAGGGGGGGGGGGGGTCGGAAATGTTGGCAGTCCTCAGATATGGGGTGCTTTCAAAAGAGGGTACGAGCATAATTATGCGTACCCTAAATAACACTGAGTGTGGGGGTCCCCCTTAAACGTACATGTGCAGTGTTACATGATGTAAGTATGGAACGCTCGTTCGCAAATCTGTGCATGCTCAGCCCGAGTGGTGGGTCGCATGTTATCTCCCGGCAGTGCTTGTCACAGGAGCTTCTGGAAAGGATTTTTTTTACTAGTGTTTTACTAAAACAAAATACTACTGTTAGTGGCCACTATAAGCCCCCTTATTAGTGACTATAACAAACATATGCTCTTCCTGGCTATTTGGGAATGTGTCAGTTTGCAACAAAAATGGAGAAACGCGCATTTTGTTGAAAATCATGTGATATCACGAACATTTATACATCACTTGTATATGGAATTGAAAATAAGTCATGGTTCAATTTGATTTGGGGGGGGGGGGGCTGGCGCCCCCCCCCCCCACCAGTACGCCAGTGGCAAGAATCCCTATTCAGTGAAGGATTCATCCTTTTATGCAGATGCTTCTTCTACCATTCTTTACCAGAAGTGCGTTTCAAACTCAATGATGTGGGCATCATCCCATTGAATGTTGTGTCCAGTGTTACGGGTTTGTTTTGCTACTTGCTGCCTAATCTGAGGGCTCTGTTGTGCTCTTTAAAAAGAGGACACAATAGGGGCAGCGCAATTTAAATATCAAGGAATGTATAAGAGTTTATTTCTAAAATGAAATGAAAGGGCTATTTGACTTTCAAGAGCGATAAAAAAAAATGTACATGACGGTGACTTGCTGTAGAATTATCTATAGAAAGTCGCATGACGGATTGTGAACTGCGTGGTAAAGGGATTGCAATAAATAGTCCAAAAGAAGATTCGCTTTATCATTTATAAGATTTTTTGTTTTAATACATAGGTCATAGAAAAAAGTAAACAGATTGACGATTGGTTTACCCCCTTAGATCTGTGTTAATAACACCCCCTTCCCATCTCCCTCCTAAACCCATAATGCCCATTCGTGTTGTGGTAACGACCGAGAGAGTAGGCAATTTTCGCAAACTCATTGCGGAATTAGAATCTGCGGTTCGTGTGCAAAATCGAGAAGTTACTATAGTAACAGTTGGATGACCGCTGAGGCCCTGAAATCTAGAACGGGTTTTGGCCAAATCTACGGGCGTTCTCAATGACGCCCCAAGTGAATCAAGTGCCTCGATACAACTATTTCATTCACCTGATAATAATAATAATAGTATTTAAATAGACAGAATCCAATCTGCATACATTAGTTGTTGCCACACTTAATACATGCAGTTTGCGTTCTGACTATTGCGAATCCTAGACAGGTGAATGAAATCATTTGTATTGAGGAACTTCACAAAGACGTATGTATTAAATTTGATTACATTACGAAAATGGCCTGTTCCCTTCCACGCAATACAGTACAGACGGGACTACACGACTAGCACAACTTGTCTCGACCAAGCCACAAAACGGCTTTTTATCAAATTTCAACAATTTAGCATCAAGTTTTAAAACAATTATTCATGTTATATCCCTATTCATGTTGTGATTGTTCAGGAACAATAATCGGAAGAAAACAAACTCACCGAAGATTCATTCGTGTCAGGGGCGGATCTAGGGGGTATGAGGTTTAAATCCCCCCTTGGGCTGGTCAAGGTGCTTTCTACCCGGCCCCCCCCCCCCCGAAATATTGGTTGGCACTTTTTTCAAATTGAAAACAAATTTTAGTGCTCCTTACCCCCATTAAGCGAAATATTGGTCGGCGCAATTTTTCAAATGCCAACCCCCCCCCCCCCCGCCCCTCCACGCCATAGAGAAAATACGAAAAATACGAATTGCGAAATACCCCTAATGTTTGTTGAACTGGCAACAACTAAAGTATGCAGTTTGGATTTTGTCTATTGAAATACTATTATCCTTATCAGGTGAATATGCCACATGCATATTCACCTGTTCTACACATTTTTACATAATAGCAGTGATCTAGGCTTGCCACTAGATATGTACATTATCGTACCCCACTATCGAACCCCACTGTACGATCGTGATTTGCGGGATGTCGCGTTTATCGACCCTTCACGATTCAAAATAAAGGCCTTGTGTCTGCCCAGCTGTTTTGACCCGGTAAGCAGACAGTTTCTCGGAGGTCAATTTCACACGTATGCTTGTACACAACACCTGGGTGGTCATATTTGTATGTGAGGTTCAAAACAGCTTTGCGTTTATCGATCTCTCAGAAACGTGATTCTGGTGCCCATATCTAAAGACGTTTGAAAAAGGCTTAGCGTTTATCTACTTCTAAATTTGCCTGAAAGACGTTTGAGAAACCTGATTCTAGCCAAAATTTGCTAGATAAACGCAACCTTTGTCTACCTGAGGAACTGTATATTTTGTCCGCTTTCTTTGTCAGTCATGTTCATAGTGTCTTAACCTCGATTCCACACATGGGTGCATTTATCTTCGCGTGATACCAGAGTAACAGCTTCACCCGAAAAGGTAAAGAGAACCATTGAGACTGTCCGCGGCCATCGCTTTCATTGCTTTGAGACACCGTTGACCAAGTTTGCGAAGTTGAATCAATCGAAGTGTGCATCATATTCATCATGAATCGTTTCTTTGAAGATAAAGAGGTAGCTATCAATTATCTCAAACACCGACCGCATTATTCGGCAGAAATTGCTGAAGCAATCATAAATTACTTGGCTGAATATGTAAGTATAATAAGGCTATATACGGCAGGCAGTTTTATAGTTTTTCATGCAGCTAACAATTCATGCGTCCATCAATTGGATTACAAACAGTATATATTCAGAAACCTCTTTTACCAGTGATTTTGTGATAAGCATTTCTTTTCGACACGTTATATTTTACTACAATTATAGAAAAGAACTCGTACATATCTCTTGAATGCGAGAAACATAATGTTTCCATGTTTGAGAAGGTACTTGCGACAAATAATCCGAGGTATAATTATTTTTAAGACATAACAACTCGATGGGAGCTCGAACGAATACGTCTTCAAGTATATGAACTTGCTTTCATGATTTCAAGTATTTCAAATTGCAATAACTGATTTATATTTCTTTATTTAACTTACTCGTAAGCCATGTAAAGCATTTTCCCCCTTCTAACATTACCTTCAATATTGATCGATAAAGGGAATAAAATAAGTCCATGTTATCTGTTCTTATCAAACAGAGTAGTCCTAGAGTGCTTTCAGTTAAAATGTCCAATATTATGAAAATACTGAACAAATTAAAAATTTGATTGAAAAATGCAAAGTCCTTATAAAAGTTTTAGGCTTTGTAGGTATGCTATATTTCTACGAGGAACCCTGATCTGAGCTACCCCTGTGAGATTCATGGAGAACACCAGGCGCGTACGCAGTGTGTGTGTTTTGGAGGACCCCCCCCCCCCCTCAATTTTTTTTTGTGATAAAAATATTTATTTAAACAAAAATTGTGCTAATGGGTGACCCCAAAAAAGGTGACCTTTCCTACCCCCCCCCCCCCCCCCCCCACCCAACGGAACGAAATATCGATAGGTCAAATTTTTGGGACAAAAAAAATTGCTCTCACTTATATTTTACAGTATATTTCTATATGTACAATGTATATAAAGCACATTGAAGTTAACTGAAAAAATATCAAATTCATTCTAAAATGATTCAGCCCTTAGCTGGATGCCTAGTGGAACCTCTGAGTGGTCCCCCGGAGTTTGGGGAAGAATGCAACCCAGGTTTTGTATCGATTGTTGTACTTTTCAAAAGTCATATTCGCTTTGTATTGCTCTCACTAATATTTTACAGTCTATTACTATAATTATATACAAAGTATGTATTAAAGCATATACATTACATTCAACTGAAAAATATAAGCTGACATGAAAACTGTAAGGTCCGAAACGTGGGATGCCATTCGCCTGAAAATTATTTCGGTCGATCGTATACTTCAACTTAAAGGTAAAGAGCAGTATTGGAAACGCCCCAATTTCAAAAAATGAAATGGAAGCTCTTATTACCATATCATGTGAAAGAGTATGTTTTGACTAATACATGATGATAACAATTTTGCCGGGAAACCGCCTATTAATTGATATATTTGGTAAATTAGTTTATCTATTGCTGTGTGAGAGATAAACGCACGTGTCGCGCATGTGTGCGTAGTCCCATATACATCTTTCTGTGTACAGTGCTTGTTACTTTACGAAGACTGGGCCAAATTTCTTATCATTTTGATGATTTCAGAACCTTGCAGTACACACCAATAGCCTACTTATATGCTAGATGATCAACCTTTTCTGGTCGATTCCACAACGTTTCTTTCACAACGCAATCGCATGACCATAACTGGTCTTTATCTTTAAGAACAATGTACAATATGAATGCTGGAAAGCCGGGCACGACTCAGGCATTACTCAATTTGGTTTCAGACTTAGACAATCTTGTCCTAAATTTTTACAGTAATGACACAGATAATAAGGCTTGTTTTTGGTCTATATCTGATCCAAGGAGAAATGTTACAGTTTTTAGAAAATAGCCACCAACGCTTCCATTCGTGTAAATAGAGTTTCCTGAAAAAAGAACGCTCAATTTTCTAAAATATGAAGGAATTTTCTTAAAACTTTCAAAATGCCTCTTACGTGGATTTTTTATTTGGATAAACTGCTCAATGTTTGAAAATATATATACATATAGGCCTAATGATAATAGTGATATTCCGTTTTTATATATGTAGCGCCCGATACATCGACACAACGATGTGCCTAAGCGCTTTACAGAAATATTATTACCCCGGTCATCGGATGCAGGCTTACCCGTACACAATATAATTTTATGCACATTTTCCCTATATATATATATATATATACGTATATGAATTATTTAGTGGGTTTATTTTGCTTTCTAATGGATCCGTACAACATGGCAGAGCCCCTGTCGGAGGTTTCTGGGCGGAGCCCCAGGACCCTCTCGAGTTTTAGCAGTTCAGAACCTTTAAAGAGAAGGTTGAGTTCTGGGAAGAGGTGAAAAATAATTTGTGAGCGTTATCATTCTTATTATGCAAGTGTGGAAGAACATCAGATAAGACATGTTCCCTGAAAAGCATGGCTCTTCAAATGCCTTCATATTCTAAATATGTCATGTAACATCGTAAAACTCCAGGGTAGGATTTTTACGCCACGTGTTCGTGTAGTCCCATATACATCTTTCTGTGTACAGTGTTTGTAACTTTACCAAGACCTGGCCAAATTTCTTATCATTTTGATGATTCCAGAACCTTGCAATACACACAAATTCTTATTTGCTAAATGATCAACCTTTTCTGGTCGATTCCACACCGTTTCTTTCACAATGCAATCGCATGACCAGAACTCAACTTCATCTTTAAGATGACCGTCTTGAGCGATGGAAACTCACACTCTCTCCTAGGGACAATTTTATACAACAATGGGTTGTCATTTCTTCGCTCCAGTGATCTCGAGGCTGGCAAACAGCAAGAAATTATTGTAAATGATAAAACAAAGTCCACATGAGTGGTTGTTAGAAGCTCCATGAAACTGTATTAAAAACCACTTTTGTCTTTACTAATAGGGTCCAAGGGTCCGCCTTAGTCCCCTGGATAGCCATCGTGAGCGATAAAAACTCTATTCCTTGTAAAAATCTATTCCTTGTAATTTAAATCACGCTGCTCCCTATTGTGTGCTCCTTTCAAAGAGCACACAATTGGGGAGATTGAACATTCCATCTCATTCAGTAATAGCAGATACGCCCTTAAAGATAAAGACCTGCGATTGCATTGTGAAAGAAACGATGTGGAATCAATCAGAAAAGGTTGATCATCTAGCATTTGTGTGTAGGCCTACTGCAAGGTTCTGGAATCATCAAAATGATAAGAAATTTGGCCCAGTCTTGGTAGTAACAAGCACTACTCTACACAGAACCCCCCCCCCCCTTTGGTGTTTTTATGTGTGTAAACTCCCCCCCCCCCCCCCCCCATCACCCCCTAACCCCCCCCTCCCCCCTTTGGATTCTTTCTTCTTCTTTTTTTAATTAGTAAAAAAAAAAAAAAAAAAAAAAATATTCCCATGGCTGACCTAAAAAGGTGACCCCCCCCCCCAACGGAGCCAAATGTCAAATTTTCAAATTTCGAGACCAAAAAAAAAAGTGTCCTCTTACTCCCCCCCCCCTCCCCCCCCCTCCCCCCCCCCCCCCTCCCCCCCCTCCCCCCCCCCTGAAACGACGAAACGGTTGGCTCAAGACCGAGGAACTTGGAGAGAAACTTGGAGAGACACTTGATATAGAATTTTGAATGGGTCACTGAACCTGTCATAAACTGACAGATCACTATTGATGAAAGGCATTTGAAGAGCCATGCTGTTTCTCTGATGTTCTTCCATACTTGCATAATTACCATAACAACGCTCACAAATTATTTTTCACCTCTTCCCATAACTCAACCTTCTCTTTAAAGTGACTCAGTAACATTGCTGAAGATTGATTTTTGTCTAAAATGATTGATTGAAAGAATTGGGTTAGTAAAACTACAAAACGCAGTTGAGGATAAGATCTCCGTTAATCTTCTCCTACTGGTCTACAGAGTAGTCAACAAAAGAGCACCAAAGTACGCCGAGGAGTGTCTTGTGCGACATTCATGTCGCACAGGGGGCCGTTTCTCGAAACCGTCATAACTACAAGATCAACGACATCTCGCCACTGTCGCACAACTTGTCGACTAAGTGTTTCACGAAGCCGTCTTTGCCAAGATGAGCGACAACTTCCGCGACAAGCGAGTTGTCACTGCTCCGAACCCGTCATATCTTTTTAATTGCTGTAAAGCGCCATCACAAGTCAGTTTGTTGCCATTCCATGGGCCGCGAAATGTACGATTAGTTTCACTATCATTTTGAGAAAAATATAGACGAGTTCGGTACGTAATAATCTGGGATGCGAAATGCAAATGTACAAAAGTAAGAAAACAAAACTTTAAAAAGCTGAATATAAACATTAAATCACAAATCATTAAACTATAACATATAAATAAGAGAGATAAGAATGTTACACACCGTTTTCCATAGTCGATCCATAGTCTTTTCTTAGGATACCGTCATACCTTTGGGGCCTATGTGCATTATTATTCCCTCTCTAATTACTTCTTCCAAATTATATTTTCAATATCAAACCAATTATGAGTATTTATGAGACTCTAGAATAAAAACTGGCTGAAAAAAGGTATTTTGCCTAAAATTCCTCGTCACAATAAACAAGAAAGTACGTATTAATAAACTATCACATTACGGTATCCTTCAACTAACTTTTGATTCGACTGTCAAAAAAAAACACTCACCGGTTGTTCTTCAATTTAAAAATCTTTACAGAAATATGCTAATCGTTTGATCTACATTTGATAATGACACTATTTATTATTTATTTTAGGAGAATTTATATGTATATATGTCTTTTTGAACAATTTTAGCCCCTAAACTTGTTGTGGATTATTCTTGATAAATCAAATGGATCGTGACAAAGACTATCTTCTAGAGCTGCTAGTATTGCGATATATCGATATCATGTCTGCCATGGCTTTGTGAAACGGTTTATCCACTTCATGACATACATCTCCGTAGGTCGGAGACAAAGATATGACTGTCATGGAGTTGGTTTCGAGAAACGGCCCCCTGGTCAATAGCATCATCAGTGACCTTCATTCAACCACTCAAATTTATTTGTTTCCACTTTATCGAAATTAACATAATTGTTATAAGACATATCTGTCCTGAAACTATATGCATTCATTGGACGCACACTTTCACTGCTTCGTAACTTGTATCAATGTTAAATATTAACATTATTTAATGAATTGCATCTCAAAGCGCCCTGTAGTAGAAAGACGCTTTATAAATTGGTGTGAGATTATCTTTTTTCTACAGAAGGTGAAACCATTCCAGATGGCCCTTGATATCGGTTGTGGTCCTGGTCAGCTTACACGGTCATTGGCTCCTTACTTTGATGAGGTTTTAGGAGTTGATGTGAGTTCTGCGCAGATAGATGTAGCAAAGACGGCTCAAAACCCAAAGAATTTATCTTTCAGGTAAGCTAAATTATACCTGGGGGTGTTTCATAAAGCTGTTCTTAAAGTTACGCATGACTTTACGAATGACTTGTATATGAAAAGCCAAATGGATGCTCAATCATTATTAACTGCATCAGCTAAAGTTGAACTGTGCAGATGTAGATTAACATTCTTATTATAACAAACATTTTTAATGCAAAGTATATTTTTTGCCATAACTTAATTGAGGTTATTGGAAATATCAGAAAAAACTTTGGGCATCCTATCTGGCACTTCATATACAAGTCGTTCGTAAAGTCATGCGTAACTTTACAAACAAAAACCTCCTGCTAACTTTGATCAATAGGTTTTCATCATTTAATTAAGTTTCCCCCTTCATTTAAGTTTCTTTTTCAATAATAGGCTTTTAATGATGGCCCGTTTATTTGTATATGTTATCTTATATGAATTCAATTATTGCACGATGTATTTTACCTTGAAATGCTTTGTATATATATATTTTAACATTTGCATGTATTTTAAACAGAAGAATGAATGAAGACAAAAATGAAATGAAAAATGGTGTAGACAGCGTTTACCAGAAAAGCAATGCGTACAGTCAGAATGCCTCTTTGGTTTCCCATTAGTGAGGGAGTGTATTAAATTGCCTCATTCGTCCAAATAATCATTATAATGGCTAAGGATGTTTTAAATTAAAAGTTTTACAAAATGTGCTTTTTTGTTCGCTAAGATATAGTAGCCGCTCCATGATTTTACAAGTCTCTCAGGAATGTCAGAGTACCAGTTTTGTCGTTCTCTCACTTTACGGTCCAAGAACTTTCTTTAGTCTGGTTCCACTCCATAGTTGTAAAAAAAAAACACCGTCATTTCCATCTATAAATCGTTGGGAACCATAAGAGGAGGGATGGGTCCTTTAGTGGAAGGATTGGTCCTTTGGTAGAGGGATCGGTCCTTTTGTAGAGGGATTGGTCCTTTAGTAGAGGGATTGGTCCTTTGAAGTAGGCATTGGTCTTTCGGTAGAAGGATTGGTCCTTTGGTTTTAAAATTGGTCCTTCGGTGGAAGGATTAGTTCTTTGGTGGAAGAATACACTATGAACATGACTGACAAAGAAAGCGGACAAAATATACAGTTCCTCAGGTAGACAAAGGAACATCCCTTCACTGCTAATATGTAAAAATGTGTAGAACAGGTGAATATGCATGTGACACCTGTTCTACACATTTTTACATAATAGCAGTGAATGGATGTTCCTTTGACTACCTGAGCAACTGTATATTTTGTCCGCTTTCTTTGTTCGTCATATTCATAGTGATATAGACCTTTGGTGGAACAGGGAGGTGTCCTCCCACCTCCATGGGTGGGAGAATTGATCCTTTTAGTCCCTTGGATTTTTAGATATGAAAGTTTGTTCAAATTGATCGTTGTGCCAGACAACATTTTTGATAGGGTTGTGCGGAAAGCCTGTAGTCGATACAACATAAAGCAACTTCTATCACATGGCTCTAGCGATGTGAACATCTTGAATTCAAAGTTTTCAACACTATATTTGTAGACCCCTGGTGTTGATAAGGAGGGTTCATCATGTCATATTATGCTTGTCTGAAGATATTGTTAATAATCCAAAGCCTTGTGCCAAGCACAAAACTAAGTCCATGATTCCTTGAAAGAGACAGGATAGTGATTCCTAAGTAATGGCATTACAGCTGATAACTGTGGTCCAAAAAAACGAGCATTATTTAATACATTAAAAATACATGACTTGGACAAATTTTAATTTTTTAATTTGTCTTTTAAAGTGTTGGTATAGCTGAAGATTTACCAACGCCAGATTCCTCGGTGGACCTCATTACATCAGCCACCGCTAGTCATTACTTCGACTGGACTGAGTTTAGGAAGGAAGTCAACCGCGTCCTCAAACCTAACGGATGCCTGGCTGTCTTATCCTTTGACGTCATTTACATCGATCATCCTGATGACGTCATCATGAAGAAACTGAATGATTGCATCGACTCATATCTTGACTATGTGAGTCTATGAAAATCGCTACACAAGCTGACATTTTGTACTTCCTTTCCGAGCAATGTTTAATTTCTATGTACTATATATTTTAAAGAAAACATTTCAAGAAATTTGATTATTTCGACTTTGAGTGAAGGTAAAATTTCATGCAATAGGATATAATACACTTTAAAAAAATAATTATAAAATGCATGGAGAGTATCTTGTATTTTAAATCACTTTGGGTAAGTTGTGAAAAGCTATTTAATCCTTAAAAACTGTATTACAATCGGTAACCCCTTTCCCCGAAGATTATCGTGGCTGCTTTCTGATCAGCTTTGTTTTACATGATTATGATCTCATGATTGGATCCATACCTCTCTGTATGCAGACAAACAACCAAGATCTGAAGGCCAGCACACCAGTTGACTATCAGCATACGATGGAGAAATACACCACCCTACAATTGCCGTTTGCTGACCAAAAAAGGTAAAGCACACAATCATATGGGTGGCATAACAGAACCCAGCGTTGAGGTAAACTTAAATTAGTGATTATGAAAAAGATAACCTCAAAGCTCCAGCGTATCCAAAACACAGCAACTCGTCTTGTTTCTTGGGCTTCTCACATTACCCATGTTCTTCAAAAAAAAAAATCACTGGTTTCCTATCACTTCTCGCATCACTTACAAAATTCTCGTCCTAACTTTCAAGACTTATCATGGTATCGCTCCTTCATATCTTTCTGAACTCCTTCCTCGATACACTCCTGTCCGGACTTTGCGATCTGCTTCTCAATCTCTCCTCTCTCGGTCTCACACTATTTCATACAAACAATACGGTCAACGTTCTTTCGTTTATGCAGCTACATTTCTTTGGAACAATCTCCCCCTTCAAATTCGCAATGCTACTTTTTTCAATACATTTAAAACAATGCTAAAAACACGAATAGCCCCCGCAACTTTTGCCTTTTATATTTTGTAGATTAACGTAGGATACTAATAATTTATGAACTATTTGTATTTTGGTAGTAAGTGATTTGTAATTGGTAACAAATATTATTTTTATTTGCAAAGTTGTAATGTTAATTGAATTGATGTCATTTTTAATGCTAATTGAATTGATGTAATTTGTAATGCAAATTCTGTTTCCTTTACTTATCAACTATTTCCCTTCCAAACCGCTTAGCCTTAGAGGTATTATGCAATTTGCGGTATAGAAATATCTTATTACTATTATTATTATGTCTCTGTCTGTGTCTCTCTGTGTGTCTCTCTCTCTATCTCTCTGTCTCTCTCCCCTCTCTCTCTTTCTCTTTGCCCCCCCCCCCCCCCCTCTCTCTCTCTCTCTCCCTCCTTCCCCCTCCCCCCTCTCATTATCTTACTGCGCAGTGTGGATATTGACACACGATATAATGGTTCTGTGACTGAGTTCATCGAGTGTATTAAAACATACGCTGCCGCTATCAATTTCATGAAGGACAACCCTGGTACATCCTACTTTATGGATTTCCAAATGAGGTATGTGTAAGACAAAGGAGAAATCATGACGAGTATCATGTCAGAGACAGATTAAACACTTTCTAAAATATTTATTACTTGCGCCGACTACTCCTCCCGGACAACAACTACATGTAGTTTGCATGCACAAACCCTTGTCAGTCGTTGTGGGTAACCATGTCTGCACCATGATACTACAATATGCTCTGTACCTTCGCCGCACCTGACATAGTCTAGTTCTGGACCGTTTTATTTATTATTTTTTATTCGCCGACTATAAGCGTAAGGCCGAGTGATTTTTTTTTGTTTTAAATGATATTTTATTTTCTTCCTCATAATTTCACATAACAAGAAATTATCAAAATAAGCAATAGAAAACAAGATCATTGATATAAGACACTTCATGAGTTACATCAATCAATGAACATAGAGAAAGAAAAAGAAGAAAAAAATTCTTGCATGTAACAGTGTATAATCAAAATAACATTAGAGGAAGGTTTAAAGTTACATATTACCATCCTGTCACACACTCTTACACCAGCAAACTCATGACACCCCCCCCCCCCCCCCCCTCTAGCCCACCCACACCACACCCCCTTTCACACACATAGACACACATACAAACACACACGCACACACTGCATGCAACCTGTTCCGGAAATTTCCTTCCTCATAAAATTCACATTACAAAAGAATTATCACATTATGTAATACAAAGGCCGAGTGATGGCGCGATCTTTAGTGACGGCACGCGCCATCACTCGGCTTTACGCTTATAGTCGGCGAATAAAACAAAAATCAATAGAAGGGTCCATAACTAGACTACACCTGACACAGCAGAGACCGATAGGCATATCTAGGCTCTTCACAAGGCTTTATGAAATGTGGTAAGGTGTCAATTTATAGTCTGTGTTTGCTGAATAGACAACAACCCCGAGGAAAATACCATCCTGAGTCCTGACAACTAACCACCTGTCATGCTTAGTCTGCCACCACAATATCTACAGCCTTGAGCAGAGCCTAGATACGTCAGTTTCTAACTGTGTCAGGAGCTGCTAAAATACAGAGTCTTTGGTAGTCTCATAGTTCAGACATGGATACCCACAACGACTGACAAGGGTTTTTGCCTGCAAACTATGCCATGCGTGTGGGCAACAGGATAATCGCTCTGCGGGAAAATTATCCTGTGGTGATAGTTGTCCGGAGGATACTTGAGTTGGTTGTCCAAGTGATTTTCATGAAACGATTATTTTACTATAACTATTACTCAAACGAAAATGTTTTATTGCTAGTAGGCCTGAATGATACACATGAATACAAGTCCTTTTGAGAAAGAACATATTTGTTGGGGTGGTTTTAATAATTTTTTGGTTGAAATTGTTACATCAAAACATTCTTGCAATATTTGTTATTTTAAATGGAATGAATAATCGTTTTGAGTGTGCAGAGTTCAGATATACTTAAAAATGATGGTTCATGTATATATTATTTACATTGGCTGTGATTGTGGCGTTGTCACAATTAATCTTATTAAAACAAATGAAAATTACTTTTTTTTTAATTCTGCAGCATCATGTCAATCCTGGGAGGAGGAGACCCTGATGTCACCATGGTTACATCATGGATGCCTATCTTTATACGATTTGCAAGAAAACCTGGCACTAACCTTTGAACATCTCAAAATATAAAAAAAATAGCTCTATCTTTCAAAAAGTCAGCGAGAGGTATACTGATAATTTCCTACAACCTCTTCGCACACATACACGCACCCACACCACATCCACCCAGGGGCATGTATGAGAAGAGGAAATTGGTAATATAAAAAAGGTTAAGGGGCACCCATCAAATTTTAATGGGGAATTTATCAGAGATGAACAGGGTCATTAAGAGAAGAGGATGAGGTTATTTTTGAAAAGGAAAAAGGGAACCTATCAGATATTTGAGGACAAGTCCACTCCAAAAATAACTTACTTTTTATAGAAGCACAAAAATCAGACAAAACCAATCAAAAAAAATTGAGCAAAATCGGATAACTAATAAGAAAGTTATGAATTTTTGAAAAATTATGTAAAACTATGGAATAATGAAAAACACAAGACAAACTGGGAACTCACTCATCAGTCTGTGACGTCATGTCCTCACTTTCCACTAATTATTTTCTTGATATTGATAATATAAATTTCCTATTTTCCCCCTAAGAATTTTATATCTTCACGCCAGCATCCAAGTTAGATTGATAATAATATGTTTATATGTTTTTTCCACTTAAATCATGATGACAAATGTGAAATTTGATAAACTGTTTACATACAAATCAATAATTATGAATATGCAATATTCAGAAAATAGTATCAATTCTTCAAAGTTCAAAGATTTTTGTGAAATGTCATGCACGCAATATGATACAAATCATATAACCTTGGCAAAGGTACGGGGGAATCAAGTTTTGGGGGATAAAAAGGGAAATTAATGTGATTAAACTATATAAAGCAATTGATAAATAGTGAGGGAATGACGTTACACACTGATAACCAAATTGGCAATATGTGTAGTGATTTTCATTGTTCCATAGTTTTACATACTTTTTCAAAAATTCATAACTTTCATATTAGTTATCCGATTTTGCTCTAACTTTTTTGATTGGTTTGTCTGATTTTTCTGCTTCTATTGAAAGTAAGTTATTTTTGGAGTGGACTTGTACTCAGAGGTGAATGGGGCACTTATGAAAGGTGGTAAAGAGAAATGCTCGTACCTGAAAAGAAGCACATATTCAAAGAAGAAGGGGCGCTTATTTCAAAGGAATAGGGGCACCTCTCAGACTAGGAAAGGGGTAATTAAATGAGGTGAAGAGGTACTTATTATATTTAAGCACTTATTTACACCACTTTTTTCTTTAAAAATATGAATTTTTCCTGTAAATAGTAATATTCCAAAAAGAGCAACCTAAATTGTTAGAGATGTAGGTTAGATAGGTATAGGGTTTTTCACAGCTTTAGACTTCTATAGTTTTATCTCTCTTTTTTATTATCCACTAGCTAAGTTAGATTGATGTTATTAATTTCAATGGAGTTTCAAATATCAGGTGTTCATTTAAACATCGTTATCTTTATATACATTTCTCGAAGTACATTTCCGGTTTCACAATACAAGTATTTTGAAAGTAACGTTGAATAAAAGCCGGTTCTCCATGCTATAGTAGCTAGGCAGGTTAATCCCAAATACTGTATATTGTACTCTTTTGTCAGAGGGACAGTTTTAGATGTGATGTTTGCTGTGGTTGCTATGGGAGTAATAGTATTTATGTTGTGTGAAAGTTGGTAGGATGAACAAGGTATGATCATGCGACTAAGCACGTGAGGCCTGCGGGAGTGTTTGATTTGATGTATTACGTAATCTAACAACCCTCTGATTTCTACCTCTCTAAACCTGAATAATAAATACCTTTATCACCATCATCCAAAGTGAGAAGGCGCACTTTCCCTATGTATAAAGGGGCTCTTATCGGAGGTGAAAAAGGGGGAGGGGCACTTATTGTAAAAAGGGGCACTTATCTTTTCTACCTCTCTAAACCTGAATAATAAATACCATTATCACCATCATCTGAAGTGAAAAGGCGCACTTTCCCTATGTATAAAGGGGCTCTTATCGGAGGTGAAAAAGGGGGAGGGGCACTTATTTTAAAAAGGGGCACTTATCTGAAGTAAAAAGGGGCACTTTTATAAAAACTTAACGACCCTACGTGAAAGAGTTATACAAAATGAAAAGATAAATCATCAGAATAGATGGAGGAATAGAAAAGAGAGAATTAAGAGGAGAGGTGCTTACAAATAAGTTTCAAAATCATGTCTTCCCGTAAAACAATCACGCATATACTTTATATAGCATGTATTACGTCATCACTTCAAATTTCCATTGTACCTCCATATAAACCAAACAATAAGTATAAGTATAATAGTTTATTGTACTTTTCAGGAAATTTGTTTTCCACTGGTTACAGAGTATTGCGATACAGATATATAAATGAAATATTACATGACAGTGATAAACATACACATATGATAAACATACAATAGATGAGGTAATATATATGTAAGCCACGGTATATATGGTGGTTAAAGAGGTAATATCAGATTCCATTTTACAAAATATGAAGCTGAATTATTTAATATCAATGATTATTTCATAGTAAATCTTAAAATGATAATAGATACATAAATAATTTTTATTGTCATTTGTATTATTGTATTATTATTATTATTATTATTATTATTATTATTATTATTATTATTATTATTATTATTATCGATTACCATTTTGAGTAGTATAATTATTACGGGCATCGTTTTTATTGTTAAGTTTATTGATGACACATAGATTGTAGTTACTGGCTCAAACGGTAATTGATAGTTGGATGCAATATTCATGGCATATATTTGAAATTTATATATTATATTACATTTATATTAATACATTGACATGGTAAGTTCATAGTAATCAAACACGTTTTGCTTTGGAATTGAAAAGATGAATGGAGTCGGGGATAAAGGATCTTCGGAAACGTGCACGTTGAGTTCGTGGTGTGCACAGGCGTATTCCAGATCTGTTATAATTGAAATGCTCATTCAGTGGGTGCGAGCGGTCATGCATTATTTGTTTTACTTTAGAGAGGGCATTTTTCTGATACAGATCTTCTATGGATGTTAGATCGGCTCCTGTGATACGTTTTGCTGCCTTTCTGGGACGTTCGAGTAGTTTCTTGGCAACAATTTTAGCGTTTGCATAATAGCAAATTAGGTTGAAGGTTAGGACACTCTGAATTAGGGACTTAAAGAACAGTTCTATCAACTTACTATCTACTCTTTAAGTTTTTCATTACCCTAATAAAGTATAGTCTCTGGTTGGCTTTCTTTTGGATGTCTACAATGTTCTTAGTCCAATCAAGTGACTTTGAGATAGTAGTACCTAAATACCTGTACTCTGTAACTTGTTCTACAGGAGAATCATTTATCAAAATCGGAGTATGATCGAAGGGGTTTCGACGAAAATCAATTATGATCTCTTTTGTTTTAGTTACGTTTAGTATTAGGGAGTGGTCATTGCACCATTTAACAAACTCATCTATAACCTTAACGTATGGGTCTACATCTTCATAAAGATAACCTGTGATGATAGTATCATCCGCATATTTGATGATGCTGCACTCTCCTACATTACATAGACAGTCACTTGTGTAGAGGGAGAAGAGCGCAGGGGAGATGACACAGCCCTGGGGCGCCCCTGTATTCACAATTCTTGGACAGGATAAGGCGTTTCCTAAGACCACTCTCTGTGGTCTGTCACTTAAGAAACTCTGTATCCACAGACTTAACTGGGGTGGGACTTCCATATCAATGAGTTTGTTTATCAGAAGGTGGGGGATAATAGTGTTGAAAGCACTAGAAAAATCTACGAAAGTGGATCTTACGTAGGTCTTAGCCTTGTCTAAATGGGCATATACCTTATGTAGGTATGTTAATACTGCATCATCAACTCCTCTCTTACATCTGTATGCAAACTGCAAGGGGTCAATGTAAGGGGAAGTGTACTCAAGAAGGTACTTCATCATGATCTTTTCGAAACATTTCATGACACTACAAGTGAGTGAAATGGGTCGAAGATCATTAAGCTCCTTCACTTTCTTCCCTTTAGAAATTGGTCTTATCAGGGATTGGTCTTATCAGGGATATTTAACCTGTTAACGAGCATTATCAGTTTGTGTAATCAGTTATAGCATACTGGAGGCGCATACAAGTAGTTAATTCCACAACTCCATTGTATTGTATTTGTAGCCTATTAGTAATATTTCATGTTATTTTGTTGCTTTTAAACTAGTGAACATGTTCAATAATTATACGGAGTTAGACAATACCACATGAGTGCTTAGAAACTCCCGTATTATAAGCGCCCTATGAATGTTATTATCATTATTTGCTGCCTTATAATGAAAATTGGAGCAGCTAAAGCCATCTATATACATGATTTGGTAGTTCCGGTTCTCATTCGGCACACTATACCGTATATGTTGGAACCAAATTTTTATCAAATTATTAGAGAAAGAAGACGACTCGTTGTACTTTTCTCGACTCCTTTTCCCTTTTTCTTCCTACGTTCTCTTCCTTTTTTTCTTCTCTTTCTCAATCTTTTTTTTTTTTGGCCGGCGTATTTTTTACGGGGGCAAGAGAAGGCCCTCACAGGGAGGTAATAATGAATTTAAAGCCTCGGTCACAAATGCCATTACGAACTGCTACGAATGCCGTACGAACGATTTTCAGACAATGGAAATTCGGGAAGACAATGGAAAAACAGGGAGATTCGTACGAAATTATCGTTCGTACGAACCTTTGTAACCGTAGCATAACATAGCTACCTACAGAACACACCAATTGACCAGTTCGTAATGTTAAGCAGGGCTCCCACTTAGCCGAGTTGGATCCTTGAGTTGTGGCGAGCTGGCGCGATCTTATGGCAAGCCGTTTTATTATTAATTGATATCAAGAAATCAATTCTTGATATCAAGAAATAATTTTACGTTGTAAAGCAATGGTAATTCTTGATATCAAGAATTCGATTTAGTGATATCAGGAATTCGATTTCGTGATATCAAGAATTGAATTCTTAATATCAAGAAATATGTTTTAATGATAAAACTGCTAGCCATAAGATCGCGCCAGCTCGCCACAACTCGAGGCTCCAAGAGGCTGTTCAAACCGCAATGAGATAGCGCCAGGCCCCCCAAGCTCCGCCATTTTGTCCGGATCCATTAGAAGCCAAAATAAGCCCCCTTGCATAATTCATGAGCCTTATGAATTATGCATTCTGTAGGATGCTCCCCGCGAAAAGTGTACTGTAATGATGTTTACTACATGGTAAAAGACAATACGCGTATCAGCATAATCAGAGAGGTCAAATAATCTACTGTACGGAATTATGGGTAATTTAT